TGCTTTTGGGTGGCAAAGTCCACATGTACAACCACCATCCTGGAGTAGTAGAACATGAACCAACCCCTAAACATGACCACTTTCCCATTGCTTTTTAGATTCTCTCAGTTTCTATCCACTCCAGGATGACTATAATATAGAGGTTGGATGGCTGAAAAGGGCTGAACATGCCAATGCTCAACGTTGTTTACCCTCCCATCTTCTGCTCGCTCGTCTCATCCACCTCTTCCAAGAGCATCACCTCCTCCATATTCACCTGGCATCGCATCGAAGCGGCGCGGTCGTCGCTGCTCCTACGCTCCTACGGTCAACATCTGATTCTCCTTCTCTCCTTCTGTTTAAGGAGCTGCCTCCGATCTTCTCCGATCTTCGGTCCATCACAGTCCTCCCAATATTCAGAGGCCCATGATCTGAAAGCTCGTTCCTCAAAGAACGTCACATGGGGAACGATAGTTCATGAAGTCGATACTTCTTCTCAACAAGTATGTCCCCGCGGTCGAGAGACCGACCCGAGTCGGATGCGCTTGGGCATAGAAACAAACCTGCACGGTCTCGTGCAGAGAGGCGCAGCTTCTAGAAGCGCCAGAAAATAGGGCGAGATGGCTGAAAGGAACACAAACCTATCCTAAGATTCTAAATCATGTTAAAAACATGTCAAGACACAAAGCATAAGCATAAGTGTTTCAATGTGCACCAGGCCTTGTCAAATGTTAAACACTTTGAGGACGCGTTTCTTTCGGCCTGACCGGTGTTTGGAGGGGTCTAATCTTCGGATGTCAGCCGAAATTGGCCACATGGTCACGTCGCCTGTCCCAGTGAACCACTGAACATTGCCTGACACCACAAATTTCATGGCAACATGTCGCTGACCACCCATTCAAGTTGGTTGTTGTACCCAGTCCCCTCTGCCACTCACAATTGCTCCGGATCGGCCCAGGGCATCTTTTCTTCCAAAACCCCAAAACCATCCCAAAAACCTGTGTCACTGTGACTCTCCTTTTGGGCTTCGCATGGCTTCACATCATCCCCACTCTGTCGCCTCACGTCCCCAAATGAGATGCGCCACCCGTCACGTACCCTGGCCACTCCGTCGCCGGACTCCGCACCCCGTCGGTGTCCAAGACCCATTCTTTGGTCCGCTCGAACTTCCCCGTTCGCGGGTCGTACCTGGTCGTACGGAGTGCACCGAAAAGCGTACCGAAAAAGGGAAGAGGGTCGTCCTTGATCTGCAGGAGGGCTATAATTCCGTATATATTTGTCTTTGTGTTCGATCATGTTCGATCTGCTTGGTTGGCCAAAGGTCACAAAGAGGTGCAACTGGATTGATGTGTGTGTGTGTGTGTCACAAAAGTCGCCCAGCCATAAGCAGTGCAGCCTCCACCCACAACGCTCATCTCGCCCGAGAATCTCAAGAGCCGGGGTGCTTGTTGACATTATCTTCACGCATGAAGACCTGCACGTTGGCGCAAAAAAAACAAGAACACTGGTATAGTCTAGTGAATTAGTGAAGCTTGCTCAAATAGCTTGCTCAAACGGCTCAAACAAAGATAAACGATACACGAACATACACGAAAACATAGATACACAAAGCACATTACATTCCAGGAGTCACAAAGCGACAAAGGGGTGGTGTTTAGTCCCATCCAGTGAGTGGATCATGGCCACTCCTAACCTCCATGGATAGCATCCCGTCTTGTGACTGCTGGTTGATTCATCCTCAAACGATCGCCGTCTCACCTCTCCGCCCGTCCGGCTTCGGCTGCGGTGAGCTCCGAACGGCTTGAACGGCCGGTCCGTGGCTTCACCCGCCTTCTTAATGCCCACGATGCCCTTCAAGGTCATCTCCTTGAGGATATTCGTCTCCACATTCCTGAAGTGATGGTGTTTCCCAGAATCAGACGCCCCAGCCAAGGCCCCGCGACCACGGCGTGGGGGGGGTCTTGGAAGCTGAGGAGTGGTTTGGAGGCACCCGAATCTCACTTTAAGAACAAACTCACTCCAAGCATCGATTTGTTACCCTTCACTCCAACGTCACCAAATCCCGACTGTTACGACTCCATCCCTTCCTCCAACTGAAAGTTTTTCCGCTTCGTTATCGTTTTCAGTCAACATCTTCCTGGAGAAAAAAAACATAAAAAAACATCTCCCTTCGGTGATCCTTATCGATTCAGTGGTGTCCTCAAGAACTTGAAGTTCTTATCCTCCGTGTCGTCATGAGGGTCATAAGGCCCTGGCGCCTTAGACATGGAGACACAGAAAAAAAGAGATGTGGAGACGACCTTCGCTGGGTAGCCCACCCAAAAGATCCAAAGAAGCCAAAGGCAACAACACCCAGAGAGCTTGGCAAACCAAAACAAATGGCAGGCCACTCCTGTTTGATAGGGACTCTGCGTTCCATGCAAGTGAACAATGCGGACATGTGTATAGACATCTATCACCGGGGTTCCTGTTCTTTATCCCTTTTGTGTTTGGCCTTTGCATAGAGCTACACCCCCAGAAACCACTGCATCACAAGGACATGGAGTGTTGTGCACGACGTCGTCCAACTACGGCCATGATTAATGTTTCTGTCTGTCTGACACCAGGACCAAGCTGTGAATGTTCAACTATACCTGTTCCAGGCATACTTCCTGTTACAGCAAGAGATACTCCGTGGCTATACAAGTTGCTCATCCCCACCTTCCACTGGCCATGCTTTTTCAGACTGCTGGCAGTCGGCTCCAGCACAGCACGGCGGAGCAGATTTAGGGCCTTAGGCCCTCTTGCTCCACCGCTCCATGGAGACGATGTGTCCGGCGGTGCCACTCAAAATTGACCCGGTAGCCACGTATTCATAAGGATGGAAAAAGGACAAGTCTGAAGACATTCCAAGATATATTATGATATATTTATTTGATGACATGACCAGTGGCACATCTGCTTGCGGAATGAACACATGACCAACCATGGAAGTTGCGTGACCAAACGAGCGAGCCGTCATGGTTCCGTGGATGGAGTTCTCCATCGGTCCAGGGAAACACATCGCATTCCTCCGCTAAGTCGGAGGATGAAGTCCACTTTCCAAGTCGGAGGGGAACACTTCTAGCATCTTCAGTCGCCAAACTTGAACGGCAGGGACATCATGGACCTAAAACCGACACGATCTGTAGCACCATGGCGGAACAATCGTGGAGTGGTCCGGGTCGAACTTCGCGCCAAAGCCGTGACGACAAGCCCCAAACCCCCCCCCAGCACCGCAACCCCAATGGTGTGATAAAGCTCTTGTTACTACTAGGAAGGCACTTGTTACTACTAGCGATGCACTTGTTCCCAGTAGCTTCTTGTTACTACCATGAAGGCTCCCAGCCACCCTTTTCTCGCTGGCGCCGTGAGACCGGACACGATGGACATCCAAACCGGACATCCGGACGCTGCCTTCGGGCGAGCACGCTGCGTTCGTTTCGGAAGACATGGCCCAGCCCCAGGCTAAAGAGGTTTTCTGATGGAACAAGGATCTAAAAGGTGTCCAATTGAAAGTCATCTACCAAGGTCACCTGCGGGGTGCAACATCGGTCGATGTGTCAAAAGCTTCATGTTAAATCACTTTCCCTTGCTTTAAACCTCTGCCCATTCCAATCCCATCAGCCCTTTGCCCCAATTCACCCATCAGATCCCATCAGTCTCACTGATCTACCTCGGGGCTGGGCACTGCTCGCGAGTCGGTGGGTGAGTTTCCGCATGGATTTCCAGCGGGAACCCCTAGTCTAGTGCCTGGAAGCTCCAACGAAACTTCAGGCCCTGGGTTGCCACACAGGCCCAGGCTTTCCAGGGCTTCTTCATGCTTCTTCTTCCCATGAACTTCTGGCCACTGTGGATGATGGCTATAGTCTATCTATACATCAGTTCTGGACGGAACAATGTCAATAGCACCCCAGGTAGCCCAAACGCTGTTCCACGGAGGCTTCAAGCAAAAAGTGCCTCATGCATCAGCAAACCAGGGTAAAGCGCCTTATCCATCCACTCATGTGAGACCCTGCATCACGTGATGTTTGGGCCTTCAAACAGGGAAACAATCTGCAAAACGGGATTAGCATTGATTGTGCGTAAATTTCATGCATTGTATAGTATACGCATAATAATGTATGTATGTATGTATGTATGTATGTATGTATGTATGTATGTATG